AATTGAATTGAAGTGGGTACCTGAACTGCAATGTATTATGTCCAATCCCATTTTCATTTTATATATTATACATTGCTTGGGTCAATCTTACGAAGCTTAGAAATAGTCTTACAATAAAACTTAGAAAATCAGAGGTTTTTCTAGTGTGCTGATTAATGGACAGGTGGATTTTTAGTATCATTAGGCCATCCTTTCCAGCATCTTGTTCAACTCAGGCTGCAAAATTTTACCTGTTTTCTCCTCAAACATGCTGAAATACGTCAAAGCTCTCTGATTTCTAGTCAGAAAACTATAGCACTAGAACAAGCAAGAGAACGTCCCATTTCAATGTTATCCCAAACACAACATTTTGCTGTGAGATATGGGAAACTGCTGAAATGCTAGACAGGAAAAAAACAGACACCTTGGAGAATAAAAACTTATGAATGAATCCTACACTGGGTAGGAAGATTTTCCCACCAACAAAGAGATATAGAAATACCCTCACATAGCTGTTTTTTTACTTGAATCAAAAGGAAATGACATATCTGGAACTAGCTGTACATGGCAATGTTCAGACATGCAGATGAAGGAGTTATGTGGAAATCAAAGAATATATAAGGTTACTGAGAAGATGCCTTCAGACGAAGCAATAGCCAAGACTAGATGGACTAGACAGGAATTGCAGCAAATAACTTACAGGAGTGGAGCTGCTTAGTTTCTGCCTGGAAACTTGTATTAGGGAAAGAAAGAAATTCAATCAAGTGCCTGTAGTTTTGACTTAAGGACATGAAGAGATGGAGGAACCATGACTTACTTTGGTTTGTTAGTGCTTTAACAGCCATAAATATAGCTTAAAATGTTCACTTTGCATCTGTTTGGAATTTCCCTGCCTTCAGGTTTTTGGAACTGGTCCTGTTATCTCTCTGGTATAACTGGTATACACTACTCAAGACACTGGCCTTACTTTGCGTGATGGTGTGTCACTGTGCAGCATTTCCAGTATAAACCCATGGATGACGGACAGGCATACCTGAGTTTTTCTCAGCTATGTAATGAAATACTGGTAAAATTACTGCACTCCTGAATAGAGTCAATGGAACAGAATGGGAACAGGGAGAATCTAGGAGCAAGGGTTATTGTTTGTCCACCTTTTGTCATTCTGAGACAACTACATCTTCTTTTTCTATTTTTTTTTTCCTAAGAGGAGTATTGTTTTAGAATTAATCAAATCCAAGGTGATTTGAGCATTACAGTAATGGATAGATATGACTGGTTGTTTAGAGTGAGGTGTGTATGAGAAGGAGAGTGACTGGGAATGTATCTTATGTTAAAGATTGGGATGTAAGTCACCTGGATGGAGCTGACATATCTAAGATCCCACTGCCATAAGTATAATCTTCTTCAGTTTGCATTAGAAAGAAAAAAAAGCTTTCTTGACACCATCTGTAAATCAATGAAGAGCTGGTTGTGGGAATTTAAATATACACAGATGTAATATTTATTAGCTGTAATTACTTACATTTGTTAGTACAGTTATTTTAACTAATTTTCTAATTATCTGTGGCATGGTAATTAATTACCTATTGAATTCCTGGAATGTATATGAAGACACCTTATGTAAAACTCTGGCTGGATGGGTATTCACTGTTATTCCATGAGCTGCTTTAAGCATTTAAAAGTTAACACTAGGTTGTGTTTCTGATACTGTCATTATGGCTTGCCAGCTGCATTTCCCAAGACTATCTAACATTGCAATGAGTCTCTGGTAGAGTACTTGGATTCATTAAGGTCTTCCCATTTAAAGCAGAAGAACTGTCCCTGAAGTTGCCCACTAGTCACTGAAGAGAGGGTCTTTTGAGAATAATTTCCATGCTTTTTGCACTGCACAGCCCAAGAGGAGGAAAAATCCCTGTATGGAAATAGAGAGGGCCTCTTGGGGTTTTGTTGATGGACTGATACAGCTTTCTCTGCTGCACGAAGCAGCAGTTGAATCCTATTTTGTGAGGTGAGTAGAGGAGATACAGAGTGAAATAATCCAGTTTTAACTATTTTGATTTTAAATATAAATTGTTCTCTATTACCTAGTGTGGTTTGTATGTAGAAAATATTTCCCCAGATGGCCTAGAACTTGAAAGGATAATATTGAGTTTTACTTTCTCAAGCTGATGTAAGAATCCCACTCATTCTGCTTCATTCTAAGCTTGAGCTGATCAGACTGAGCCATGAGTCAGTATCAGAGAAACCATGAATAAATCATTGCTTGTGCATCCCCTATCACAGATGTAAAACCTCAAGACCGAGAGAAAGAGAGGGACAGAAGTATACTGGAAGGGAGAATTCACATCAGAGGCAACCAGTGATATTGAGCCTTTATGTAATGCTGTGCCAGACTCAGAACAGTGGAAAGAAATCTGTGAGTTACACAGGATTCACAAACACAGTTTTGGGAAAAAAAAATATCCTAATGCAGGGAGAATCATTGCCTTTCAGATAGGGTAGGCTGTTTCAGGAGAGTCCAACTTCATAGGGTGCATCATAATCATTGGTTGATATGAGAAGGAGCACAGCAACCACTGCTGAGAGCAAAGGCAAACCAAGCCATAAAATTTAAACTCGCAGGAGAAGTTGTGGAAACTGCAAGGAGGTCTCCAAGCCTGCAAGGCAGAGCAGCAGGGTGGTAAAGCTTGGGGAGTGCTGGGTCTGAGGAGCTGTTGAGACAGGTAAGCTGAGTTGTAGAAAGGGAACTAGAGGACAAACTTGCTGTACTGATAAATGTAAGCAAGCAAATTTAGATGATGCTTCACAGAACAGATGGACAGATATGAGATGTACTTTTAGGTTGTGTACCAAAGGGGAAAGTGGAATGATTCACACAGCTGAGCAGAGTTGCCTTCAGCTGCCTTGATATGACAAGTTTTAGGCATGGGGCTTAGAAATCAGGAAGCTAGTTAGAAAGTCTTGAAGTCTGAAGGTCTGAGATGCTGCCGGTATTTCTGACCTTGCTTTCACTGAGCAGTCCCTGCTGAGCAAATTCTAGCCTGGATCTTCGAAGTGCAACAGTCATATAATTCCTGCTTCTTCTGAGGGAGATACTCTGCTGCCTATTATGAAGACAGCTTGCTATCTCTGCCTTGTGGTGTCCAGTGGTATTTAGATAAATTGTTTGGTACGGGTTTGGTTGGTTTTTTTGGGGGGACCAGTAATTAAAGAAGGAGCCTACAGCAACTGCACTTGGGTACCTTCACTCACTAACCTGTGTACCTTCATTACATGTGAGTCAGAAATATGTGTACTCGCAGCCCAGAAATCCAACCGTGTCCTGGGCTGCACCAAGAGAAGTGTGGGCAGCAGGTAGAGGGAGGGGTTTCTCCCCCTCTATTCTGCTCTCACGAGACCCCACCTGCAGTGCTGTGTCCAGCTCTGGGGCCCCCAACATCAAAAGGACATGGACCTGCTCGAGTGGGTCCAGAGGAGGCCACAAAGATGATCAGGGAACTGGAGCACCTCCCTTATGAAGACAGGCTGAGAGTTGGGGTTGTTCAGCCTGGAGAAGAGAAGGCTTCGGGGAGACCTTCTAGCGGCCTGCCAGTACTTAAAGGGGGCTACAGGAAAGATGGGGAGGGACTCTTTGTCAGGGAGTGTAGTGATAGGACAAGGGTTAATGGTTTTAAACTGAAAGATGGTAAATTTAGATTAGGAATAATGAGTAAATTCTTTTCTGTGAATGTGGTGAGACACTGGGACAGGATGCCCAAAGAACTTGTGGCTGCCCCCTCCCTGGCAGTGTTCAAGGCCAGGCTGGACGGGGCTTTGAGCAACCTGGTCTAGTGGAAGGTGTCCTTGTCCATGGCAGAGGGGTTGAAACTAGATGATCTTGAAGGTCCCTTCCAATCCAAACCATTCTATAATTCTATGACCCTATGTCCAAAGTTAGATGAAAATGAGTCTGGGCCTAAATAGACCTGGAGAACAATTATTCCTTCTTTGGGAAATGTTTTCCCTTTTAGGTACATGAGTATTTCCAGGCTGTTTCCTGTCTGTGCATTATCTCTTAACACTTCTGAAGTGTTTGCCAAGGAGTGGCTTGCCTTGAGACATTTTTACCTGCTTGTTTGTTCTTTCTGGACAGCTCCTATTAAATTAAACCATATATTCATTCATACAGACAACATCCCAGTAACCAGGTCAATACACACTAGTCATAAATTATTACAGAACAGGTCCAAATCCATCACTGAGGCATCCATTGATTATCCATACAGCTACTCTCAGTAAGCGAACACTTTGTATGCAAGGTCACTGCAGAATTCAGCTATTTTTAAAAGGCCTTTAATAGCAACACGGAAGCAGGCTCTGATTGAACTGGAAGTGTAATTTTCAATTAAGAGCCTTCGCTCAGTCTTCCTTCCATTAGGGTCTAATTAGATTTCAGGAAGACGCGAAGTTTCAGAGTCTTCAGCCCTACAGCCTCTCCATTAGCTGACACCATATGCTTTGCGGTTTCCATTGTGAAGTCCCGATTAATTTGCTAACTTTAATTTTAACTCTAGCTGAGATGCTTCACCAGGGACCTGATTAATGGACTAGCTGTAACCAGCCCATCCCTTCTTCTTCCTCCCATCAGTTATACAGTAATGAGGTTAGTGAACATCAGACTGATATGTTTTTTTCTCTACTACTCTGGGAAATGCATATATTTCATTTGGACTATGTAAGCAGAGGAACAGTCCCTCCAGTTTGTTACCTGGATTAGCTTGCTAGGTTACAGACCCTCTTACCTGAATAACTCCTTCCTGCATCTCTTCTTCTCTCTGTGATACCTGTAGTGTACATACAAACCATGAATCTGTAAAGACACCTTGGACAGTCATTTTTCATAATTTTTCCTTCCTTCTGTTTCATCCTTTTCCAAATGCTTTGTTTCATCCTTTTCCAAATGCTTTGTTTCATCTAAAGAGAAAAGACTTGGTAGAGCACATCTAGTGTGAAGCAACTAACTTTATTTCATCTGTTCTCATACTCTTTCAGCTGAAACAAATGCTTCTGGGACTGTGGTTGCTGATAAAATTGAACAAGTTCTTGTGAGTACTCCAAACAAATGCTGTTAATTTAGATAAAGGTTGATTGTAGTAAGAAATAAACATTGGTGATCCAAGAAACATTATCTGGAGACCTATCTCATGTTGGTGATGAGAGATGGAAGACACCTGTGCTCATTGGAAGGGTTTTTGCAACACAGACAAAATACTGCAGCAGTGGAAATTGATTTTGAGTGAGGACCAACTTTTGTTAGGTGCACACCGGATGTCACAAATTAGATCTTTGGGTGATGGGTCTTTTCACAGCTGTCAAACTGTAGGATTTACACCACTGTTAAGCAACTCTATTCAATAGGCATTCAGATATGCTAAGATATGGATAAAGGGAGTGACATAGGCAGACAGGTGATGGGATGCCTGCCAGACAGGTAATGAGATCACCTTGGGCAGATTTTGTAGGCAGTTCTGTTCTGTTCTTCAGCTGTAGAGCCTAACACTTTTCTTGCAGCTCTGCTTGCTGTTTGGATTTCAGCCCAAAGTGCACTAGCTCTTCAGCATAATTCTGAATGATATGCAGTAAATAAAGAATCAGGTCACTTCTGACTTGGAAATAATCAAATCCACCACTGAAGAATAAGCTAGTACACTGATTTTCAGTCTGTGAGGATCTTGTCTATGGCTCAAAGGGAGGAGAGCAGCAGGGCTCTAGCTGGGAGGGACTGTTGCACTTTCCTAGCTAGTGCTGCTGTGAAAGTCCATAAGAGCCTCTAGGCTGTGTATCAGGTCCATCTTTATGACATTCAGATCCTGAACTGCTGCCTCAGACACACCTGGTGGATAAATACAGACCCGTATTTAGGGGTTTCCTTCCAGTCCCCTTCTTATTTCTCTGTGTGGTTTTGGCTGCCAGGCATTCCTTTAAAACAAGCCACCACAATAATATCTTATTGACTTAGTTTTATGGGAAAAGAAAGAGCTGTAATAACTTTTTATTGACATTGCTCTTCCAGAGAGACATAGAAATAAATCACCAGCCTGCAGGAGTCAGAATGCTCTCATGCTTTCTGGAATCAGAGTCCCTCAGTTTCCCAGTGTTGTGGTTTAACCCCAGCTGGTAACTAAGCCCCACACAGCTGCTTGCTCACTTCCCTCCAGTGGAATGGGGGAGAGAATCAGGAGGGTAAAACTGAGAAAACTTGTGGGTTGAGATAAACCCATCTCCAGGAAAACAGATCTCCATCATGCGTAATGGTTACTTGGGAAGACAGATGCTGTAACTCTGAATATCCTCCCCTTCCTCCTTCTTCCACAACTTTATATGCTGATCGTGACATCATAAAGTATGGAATATCCCCATGATCAGTTGGGGTCAGCTGTCCTGGCTTTGTCCCCTCCCGACTTCTTATGCATCCCCACCTTCCTCACTGGTGGAGCGGTGTGAGAAGCAATAACTAAAACATCCCTGTATTATCAACACAAATCCAAAATGTAGACCCATACTATGAAGAAAATTAACTCTATCCCAGCCAAAACCAGCATACCCAGCAGGACCTACCCAACATTTCTGGATATCTGCTGTCAAAAGACTTCTTCATCAAATGTAGTGGAAATGAGCCAAAAGAATGGAAAGTTTCTGGAGTTGTGACTGAGGATAGGACAGATCAATAGAGCTTGAGAGCTAAGTCTATCTCTATTGCAACAAAGAAGCTAAAAAAGGGTTAAGTCAGTATACTGATGCAATGAGGTATCCCATACAGAGAACATAAATCCAATGTGAAACTTCATCAAAGTTTTTTTGCAGTTGATCTTAGCTCTTTTCAGTGTGAATCCTGGAGGGAATAAAGGAGTTGAGGGAGCGAAGAACAGATAATATCTTTTGGGTATAAATCAGATAAAGAGAATGATTAACAAGTGTAGGATTTTGCTACAGTATTTTAAGAACTCTGTCAATAACCTCTCTCCCTCCTCCCCTTTCCAGTCTTGATTCAAAGGCCTAAAATTAGATAGCTGATTAAGGAGAGCTGCAGGGCAATCTAAATACAGCAATCTTGCTTGTAATGAGGAACATGGCTACAGTTCTGCAACGATGATGAACATCAGGGCCAGGGTGGCTGGATACTGAATGTTCTCTGTATTGAACTTCCCATGCAGCCATTATTTCTCAGCATTTCTGAATAGCTGAATCTGATTAGAGGAGCTCTCTGGGAAGGGAAGGCGCTGGGGATTGAACTGGGCAAGTTTTTTTTTCACAGGATGAAAGAGATTGAGCAGCTTTCTAGACTCTCTGACTTGTTTGCCAACAAAATGGGCTGCCTCATGCACATTTCTCCTTTTACTTCTCATCAGGAAATGTGTATCAATTCCACCCTGAAATGTTCACCTTGCCCTAACAAGCCTTTATTTACAGTCTTTTATGCTTAAAGACATATGTTATAGTTCTTTTTAAAGACTAATGGCCCATTTCTGTGCCAGATGAAGAGCTTTTATTAGCCAAAGAGTAAAGATATGTCCTGCATTTGAAAATCAGAGGTCCACCAGAGAGAAAACCTCCAAACCTCCTATAACAGCAAGAGGAAATAAAGTTCTAAACAATTTGAGTTGTTTTGTTTTGTTGTTTTTTTTTTTTGTTTTGGTTTGGTTTGGTTTTTTAATTAACATTATTGCATACCCCCCCCAAAAAACCCCTTTTTTTCTCATCTCTAGGCCAGCTACAGATCTACCCTTTCTCTTGTGAGCAGAAACCCCTCCTGACCAAGACTCTTTTTATGCCTCTGACACAGTTCAGTCATATCTGGCAAATCATTTAAGGAAAGGCCTAAGGACTCTCCTGGGATTTATGTCCCTAAAGGATGATTGAAAGGACAGGTAAGTGACAAAATATAGAGTTGAAATCCTTATAAGTATCCCTTTCAGCTGCTGCCTTAACATCACAGACTTTTTCTGCTTAGAGTTTGCAGTTCCTGAGAGAGGTTTCATGGCCCAAGCTGTCTTGGACAGATCAACCCGTTCTCATGTAAGCCAGAAAACTAACCTTCACCTGCCCACATTCCTGGCAGGGGGGCGCGGTCAGGAAGCTATTCCAAAACATAGTCTCATGATTATCTGAATAATGCTTAAAGAGGGACCTGTAGGGTTCTGCCACCCATGGGCTCAGCCCAGACTTTCTCTGCTCTGAGAATTAGACCCAAAGTATTTATCTTGTCTATTATATCTTATGTTTTGCAGTTTGTGGGGAGGAGCAGTTCCATCAACAGCACAAAAAGGACGAGAGAAAAAGCATATTCACAGCCTTTTCTGAGGGATGAGGACCCTGTGAGACTGAAAAATCATCTAAGGGTAAAGTATGTCAATGTAGGCTTGCTGCTGCCATTTGGTTTTTCAGTTTTTCCACTGTGCTTGGGACCTGCAGCAGGGGAAAGCCAAGAAAGAGATGCTCCTGGACATAAGTCTAACACAGCCAAACATCACAACTTGCAGGTAGACCACAAGCGAGAAGAAAGAAGATAACACCTAGGCTAAAAGATATCCCCTTTCCCCTTCTCATCTCTTGGAGGATACTTATGTCCACTTCAAATCCAAGGTTGAAAGCCATTCAAATCTCCACTTTCTCCTAAAGAAAGGGCATCTACTTTCTGAAGACCAGAACAGTGCTTTCAGACTCTAGGTGGCAGGAACACATTTTCCTTGTTCATGTGCTTCTCAGCACACCTGACTCTTCTGGTTACAGGAGTAAATGGGGAGAAGTTCTGTGAGATAAAGGGCTCAGTAAAGAGTAGTAGGAGGAAAAAAAATATATGAAAGAAATGGTGCTTCAGTTTAGTAGCTAGTGGGTTGTGTCCTTTTCACTCTTCTGTTACCAAAGGAAACAGAAGTAAAAAAAAATGAGGAAAAGAGAAGCTAGCAAAGAAGAAAGTTCACAGGTCTGTCAGTTCAGACTTAAAGCTTGAGGAACAAATTTAATATTCTGCACAATTGCTTCCTTCTTATTTCTTCTTGCTGCAGTTGCTTCTCCACTTGCTAATTCATCTTAATTATAGAATATTTGGACAGCTCAGAGCAAAGTTCTTTGTTGACAGTGCTTGAACAAGAGAAGGTATTCAGGCTCATGAATAGGCGCTGTGCTGAGAAAGTCTAATTGGCTTGTTATGATCGACAATGGCACAGATCACACAAGTGAGGCTGGTGGTGTGCCTAGATTTTGTACAGTTTTCCTCGATCTTTCTGTTCTCTAGTGGGTTCTGCTACCCTCCTACCCTCTCTGCCTCCCTGCATCTTGCTTTTCCACAGGGTGAAGCAACAGACTGAGGAAAAAGGAGCTTCAAGTTGAGGGTTTCAATGAGATGTTTAGAAATCAACAGAAGATGTCTTATTTCTGAACAAACCCATATGCAGATCTGCTCGATTTTAGAAGTAGAGTATTAACAGTAATATTAATAATATTAATATTAATAGTATTAGTGGTTTGATTGCTGTAGAAATATGGTCTCAAGTAAGTTGAATTTAATGACTGGATAACTTACTGATTTTCACCTTGGAGCCTCAAAAAATACTGGAGGGCCAAACAGGGGCTCAGGCTCAGATCACTATTGATACAGAACTGAGAATCAGAATAAGCCAATGTTAAGGGAGTGTGAGGGCTTCTCTGCATTTATTTCAGTGGATTTTGTGCCCCTTTGCTGGTGAAGATGTTCTCTGCACAGCACAGAGATGCCGTCCGCTCTGGGCTTGCCCATTTTCCTTGGAGTCACGTGGTTACCCCACAGTGAAGTGTGAAATACTCTATTTTAAGGAGGTTATTATCTCCCAGGACAACCAAAGTGAGATTGCCACTCTCCTTGGAAATAAGCAGTGGTGCTTGAATACCAGGCTATTCTAATACATCTCTGTCCTGCTGGGAGTGACCTTCCAGAAACTTCTTTTCTCTACAAGACATCTCACCCCCAAAGCCATCCCATTTTCTGCTGCCTATCTATGCAGACCAGGAAGGAGGTTTTATTTAGGTAGCTCTGTTGCACTTAAAGCCAATTACTTTTTTGTGCAGAGAACACAGGGTGGTCTATTTCAGCATAAGAGGATGTATCTGGATGGTTTTGAATGGTAGAAAACAAATGACATAGTTTAGTAAAGAGAAGAAAATTTCAGGGATAAGTGGTCTAAAACAGAGCCTGCTGCTTTATGTGGTAATGTGGAAAAGTTTGTATACCACTCTCCAGCTCTTCCCCAGGATATTTTTTGCTTGTATAAGGTGAAAGATTTATGCATTTTTCAGTCATGACAAACCTGAGTCACACATGAAATGGAGTTCACTCTTTGCAGTGTTCCACTCTGCTGCTTCCCATTTCTACAATGGGTTATGCATCTGGTTGGTTATGCTCCTCAGCATTCCTAGCCATGCTCAGAGCAGGTAGCGTGAGACCTAGTAACTCATGTGGGATTCACCAGGACTGGCTTTTTCTAGTGTTTGGACCCACACAACCATCCCCTCCTAGTCATCAAGACATGCCCTTGATAAAAAGTGAACAGGAACAGAAGGTAGCCTACTTACTGCTCTGCTACTTAGATAAGATGTTGTTAATATTAATGTCTTTATCACTGAAATTGCAATTTTATTTTAGCAAACACAAAATCAGAAGCACCCAAAGGTCCAAAACTCACTGAAAGTCTAAGGAAGTTGAGCCACTTAAGGATCCCCTTGAAATACCAGCCAATGAAATTGGAAAGCAGTGCTATTAAATTGGCCAGTCTCTTTTAGCACTGCCAAAGCATACTGTTACTTGCAGTGGATGGAAAAGTGGCTGGAAAAACATTTCTAGGACATAATTTCCTCCAAGGAGTACCAACTTCTGTAATAAAATATGCAGGACGTCACCTCACCCAGATCCATCCTTACAGCAGAATCAGGTTTACCTGAACTGCTCCTGAGAGATGTTAGTCTATTCAGGGCCTTGCCATCTTTTTCCTGATGTCTCACTTAAATTCTCATTTCTTGCTTTTAAGCCAATACCTTCTTCTATCCACAGTGGACACGCATTTATTTATTTATGATTCACTCTGCAGCTACCTTCAGCACATGTGAAATCTGTTATTCTAATTCCTCTCTTTTTCAATCATTAGACTTAAACCAGTAAATTTCTTTCAGTCTTTCCAAACAAGGTCATATTTTATAAATATCTAGTGATCCTTGTTGTGCTGATAATTATCTTTAAGTTAGGTTACATCTTTCTCAAAGAACAGTTTCCAAATCTGGGTGCATCAATGCAGCAGGGCAGAGAAGGAACATTTTACACATCTGTCCTACATCAATCCTGTTAATACACCCAGTTTGGTGTTTGCATTTGTGTAACCACACAACAGGATCCTAGGGCTCCACAGAGGTCTTTAAAATGTTGAGAACCAGGAATAAATACAGTATGCAGTATTTTTTTTATTGTATGTTTTCACTGTCTTTTTTTTTTTTTTCTTTTTTTTTTTTAAATCCCGGAGTGAATAAAAGGGTGGCATAACTTTTTAGCTCATAATGATCATATTCCCATAGGAGACTGTGAGAGAGACACAATTTTAAGTCTGGTTCAAACATATCTTAACTCTAGACCCAGCAGTAATCATACAGCAATCAGTGAAGTTTCCAAGACTAAGCATGTGTTTGAATGTTTTGCTAAACTAGGATGTTCATGCAAGGGAATACAAAATGATGTCTCTAATACATTTTAGCTGGTGACATCTTAACAGAAAATTCTGTAGCAGAATTTTGTGTGTGTGTACACACACTTGTTTGTGTGTATAATGCAAAGGAGGTTTAAGAGATCAATACTATATGAAATAAGATCAGTATAGATTATTAAGTATCAAAATAGTACCTAACAAGAATAGAATATTTGAAAATATTATTATGTGTTGGAAATGGACATTACCTTGTAAAGGACTTTAAACTTTCTCTTATGTGTCCCTTTCCATACTCAACCCAAGTTGCGAATTGTCTGTCTGCAAGCTTGAGGGCAGCCAACAGTATTGCCACCAAAGGTTTGTGTGCAGGCATACAAATACATGGGAACTCTGTAATAAATTAGTAAAATACATGCATAGATATGAATATAAATATGTGTAAATACATATATGTATATGAAATCTTCTTATAGGTAGCAACAAGTTTCTATACATACTATTTTTCCACTAATATTTAGACATGATATAGAGCAGCAGGTGGGCTGACTATGAAAAGGTGTCAATAGGAGAATTACAACATGCAATGTAATAGCCATTTTTTCTGTTTTCCATTTTATAATAACTAAATATTATCATCTTGTTAGCATTATCTCAGTAACAAATAAGTGATACTGTTGCTTTGTATGCTACTCTTCTCATAAACCTCAGTTGCAGGATACAATTGCAGGTCACTATCAGGGCAGACCATCAAAGAAAGATTTTAATGACATTTATAAAGTTCTGGAGGGATTGGATTCAGCTGTTCCTGGGATAAGAGCTGCCCTTGACTATACAACAGTTTGCACCAGCTTGAGATGAATGAAAGAATAGAGGTAAGGAAGAGAACAAGGAGAGGAAATGTCTGCAGAAGGAAAATATATATAATCAGTTTTTGCTGAGACAGGTGGGAAGCCCAATAAAGGCTGTGTTATCTGAACCGCAGATGGTCTATGTGAGACTGCAGAAAGAGGGAGGATGAGTGACCTTTGGAAAACCCTGGTGAATGCAGTGGCTCAGTAACAGCTCCCTTTCACCAGATTGTCTCAAGAACATTTTCCTACCTTGCCTTTTCTTTTCTTTGAAGTGAGACACTGTCAGGATCACTTGTATTTTTTGTTTTCAGCTGTCACCCAGTCCCACTGCAGTCAGAATTGAATTTGTCAGCCCTGTCATGGAGGTGCAGCAACTGAAATAACTGCAGATAAGAAAGGATTTGAGTGCTGAGGCAAACAGCTACTGTCTGGATGGGCTCTCCTGAGAAACAGCGTTCAACTACAGCCAGAAGGAATTAGGAAGCTAGTGAGTACGATGGGCTATTTTCCCAGGAAAATGTATCTTCCTTGTTGGGCTTGGTTTGTGGCAGTGGGGATGGATGGATGGATGGATGGTGCTGTATGCACCTTTCCTTGGTCCAGCCCCATGACACAGCTCAGCCAGCATCATGGTGGTGGGAACTACCTGCTGTAATGGCTGCCTCACCATCCTGCCCCACTGGGGTGGGTTACTCTGCGCCGCAGCTTGAGGGATCATTACAGTCCCCTCTTAGCTCCCTTAGAACATGTACCTCCAAGTCTGGGCTGTAAAACTGGAAGGAGAGCTCAAGCCGTGTACCCTGTTCATTCCAGTGTCTCTCTGGGGAAACCACTATAAAAACAGTCGGCTTAGGTTAGGACACCATGAGTAATTTACAGTGGAAATTTCTGTGTGCTAAAACCTCTTTGGTAGCAGACTTTGGACATGGTCTTACAATGGGAAAATGTTCAAATGCAGAGGTCAAACCTGCAGGTCAGGCTTTCAGGGAAGATGGCCTCAATAGCTGAAGAAGCTTCTCTGCTGTGAACATCCATATTTATTTATTTATTTATCTATTTATTTATCTGTTTATTTATTTATTTATTTGCTGTAACATTTCTGGAGGCTGGAAGCTCAGCAGAAACCTCACAACTACCTTTTCTCATTTGAAACCCCTACAGGGCCAAATAGCAGCCCTGAGCATGGTTGGCAGAAGGATAAATTGCAGTGAGAAGGACACACACCTCCTGTCCTCCCTATCAGCCTGAGATTCTGTATCAATAATTTACAATTCTGCCATTTATTAACAGCAAAACTTAGTGAGATGTTTATTAAAGCTTTTTGTAGAGAAATGGCATAGTTGTTTTGAATGCCATTGCTGAAGTAAGGAAATGGGAGCAGGTAGCAAAACAACACCCTCAATATATTTATGGCATGACTTGCTAAGGAGGAGCATCCCCAACTTTATGGCTTTTGGAATAGCAACAGCTGCTCCAACTGACCTGCAGATGTTGGCCTCTCAGGGTGGACCCACTGGCCACCTGCTCCGAGTTCCTTTTGCCAGGACCTGATTTGAAACAGAGGAACTCATGGCTCTGGTGGGATGGAGGCTTTCTCCTGATGGACACCTGATCAAATCCAGATCATCAGGGAGTGATCAGAAATTATTCATGCTGCTCTCCCCTCAGATGGGTGCAACACTGGAAGAAACACTGCTGATATTACCTACAGGTAACTATGGAGCAGGGGAAGCAAGCAGGGACTCATCTGCCAGTCCTCTTTTTCCTCCAGAGCAGCAGTGCTGAGACAGGTCTGTGGGAAGGAGACTGCTCTCCTCCTACTCCTTCACCATCACTGCTTTAGAGCTCTGCAGCTGAGGCTCAAAAAGTGCCTTACAAATGAGTAGCTGTGAGGACTTGCAAACACAGCTGAGACATTCCTTAAAAGCTTTGCTGCAACAGTTTTTTATCCTGAAGATTTTTGCGGATGCAACTGTCCTTTGCTGGTGGATAGGCCAGGATACAACACTGGTTAAACTTTCTGAAGACATAGGAGTTGTTCTGGTTACCTCCTCTGAATGTAATTTAACAAGATGCAAAAAGATTTAATAAACCATATGTGTATGAGTGTGTCTGAAACAGCAAAAAAAAAAAAAAAAGTTTTCCAAGACCCATTTGGTGAAAGCAGGGCACTTGAGCTGTATCTCACAGATTATAAACTTGTTATACATTTACTATTTTCCCTCTGGAACGAGCCCAGCTCTGTGAATCTCACACTGTGCAGAGCATCCCATTATGAACTGTGTGAAACCAGCAAAACAAAACTGTCTTCTTTTTTTTTTTTTTTTTTTTTTTTTTAATACCTTTCTGAATCTTGTTAGCCATGAAATGCCTCACATTTGCTGCATGCTGTGGCAATAAATACAGAATGAAGTGAAAGAGGATGTGGATTATTAAACTACACTCCTTAATAGATTTGATTGCATCTAATGCTTAAATCATGCAGCATTGCTGAGACATGAACAGCACTTCTTGATACAGCAGAGCCCTTTAAATTGAAGGCCTGATGAAGAAAAAGTCCCTCTATGGTTATACATATTCAATGTATGATAGCATAATGCCCTATTATAATGGTAGGACACACATCTTCCATCTATGGAACTGTGATTACCATCCCGGACTGAACTGAAGTGGTCTTCATAATTTGGACGTCACTTGCTCCTGCTGTGTTTTTCTGCTTTTAAATTAGAGGCATTTGTTGCAAATTTCTCCCATTTTTGCTGTCAGAATCCTCACATCAGAAGAGTGGCTAATTGACAATAGAACTGATCTAAAAAAAAATTTAAAATTGTCATTGAAGAAACCAGAAAATGTTTACAATTTTGGTTTAGATACAAAATTATTATAATATTTTAAAAAATTGGTTATAATTGTTAAACATTTTTTCTGAAATAAATCTGCAGGGGGGGGGTGGGTAATGACATGAATAATTGTCTTTAGAAATAGCACAGGTAGTGTCTTAGCACTCTAGGTTAAAACTCAAGTGGGGAAGGACTGCCAGGTCTATGGGCTGCTTACCTGAACTGTTAACTCCTGGGAGGGTTCACGTGATGCAGGGAGCTTTTACAGATGGGACAAAGACCTGGTGGGAAGGTCCACTCCCTGTAAACCCTGCAGATCTTCCCCTTGCCACTCCCACTCCACAGCAGAGAACGGGCTGCTCCAGACCTTGCTAGCCTAGCACGAGGTGCAGCACCAGGTCTAGTGATGGTGCACAGTGCCAACCCCGCCATTTCATCTGGTCCTGCTCATTTCCATCTTCCCTGAGCCAACGGCTGGGTGGCCTCTGACATGCTGCTGCTCTGGGTGCTCCTAAGGTCTTGCCCCACTACCTCCTTCCCCTTCATCAAAGCACATTCTTGTTTCCTTGCTGCATCTGTCCTTCCTTTCCCTTCCTCCTTTATTGCACCTGCTTGTGCCAGGGCTGCTTTCTTTGGGACAATGGATTGCTGAGTTGACTGTTATTATAACTGCATGTCTAGCACAGTTTTGTGTTAGCATGGTGCTATGGACAATGTGACAAACCCGCCTCCTTGGTGCCACTGTCTCTGGGGTCTCTCTGGGTTGTACTCCATGTTGTGGTGTAAACTGGCCTTCAAGATAACAACAGAAAGTCTTGGGGTTCTGGTTATAAACTTCTTGTAATCACCAGATGCTTCATTTTTAGTTGTTCAATTCCCCCTCTTTCACTGATATTTTTATGACTATTTATATACTTTCTGGAGAAAAAAAATAAACTCAGTAGTATATTTTTCCTATATTTTTTTTTATTAAGCCACTATTGAATTAAGGTATATTTATTTTTATTAACAGTTATTTTTACTGTTCTTTTCCAGAACACAAGAGGCACGAATAAGTAAGACTGTACCTCAGCCCATGACTGTATGTGCAAGTGTCACTGCTGCACGGAGATCCTTCTCTTGCTCTCCTCCTTGCTGTGTGTCACCTTCACACCACCACTACCGGTTCTCAATCACTCCCTTGACAGAGGTCAAAGAGTACCTGCAAAGTCTTAAGTCTTCTTGATGACAGTCAAGGGGCTGCTGGAGCACTTGAGACAGGCTTCCTCTCCCTTCCTCAGCCTTCACAAAGAAAGCTTCTTTTTCCTGACCTTGAGGCACTTAATATTTCTTTAGTGCTGTTAGCAATGGTGTCAGTGGCAAGTTGTTGTGACTTGGTCAGCGTGAATTTGTCTGGTCTTATGTCTTCATAGACTTTCATCATAGGAAAATCTAAATGTAATTTACAATGTGATTCCCTCACCTTTACCAAATCTACAATGGAGGTAAACTGGAATAGATCCTAAATTTGGAAGTCCCTGTGTTGCTAGGCTCTAGCTCACAGCAATGTACTTAATATACGAGATTAACAGTTAAAATGCTCTGTGACATACTTATCAAAAAACCTTGGGTAACTCATTTATTTTTTCTTTGCTTCCACTTACCACTTACAAAATGGACATCACGCTCTTCCTTCTTCCTGAATAATTCACAAGGCTTTTATGATTGTTCTCTACACTATTTATATGCTGTTCACTTTCTATGTAATTTACAGGTTCTTTGGGACTGGGACTACCTGGGATCTCTCATACAGTATCTTTGTAAATGAAATGGCAAACTGTCTCTCTTAATTGTTGTGCAGCACCACCTGATTTATCCTTCTGATTAAGGAAAAAAGTAATATGAACATTTAAAGAAGATTATTTTCTAAAAATTGGAGTGTATTTGGCATCAAGACAATCTCCATCTGCAGCTATGATGTCCCACCAGGAATGGAGAGTTTAGAGAACTGTGGGCCTGAGACATCCCACTCCATCTCCATGTCAGATAGGTAATAGACCTTGCAGTCCAGTCACTTTGTTTGTATTGCTCTGGAAAAGTGACCTCTGGCATTTTGAAAAACAGCAAGTGCGATACCCCATTCCCAACATTAGGCAACATGGCTGTGTCATACATGTGGCATATCTACTCCATACATGAAGGCAGTGCACTCCAGCCACATCTAAGACCTATCTTGCCAATTGAAGGCTACGTGGCAGCTCAATCTGACTATGAAGGTTGCCTGAGGGCTACCTTTAGCATGCAATGAAGATGGCCCAATAGCCACACAACACCCCAGAGCATCCTGAGCACACCTGCATGGAAATTATCTCCAACTATCTCCATTTGTATGAATCCTATCCACAGCTCTTCTGAGAGGTGCACTGTCCTACCATCAAATGGTTATTTCTCAATAATTTGGGTGGTTCTTGCCTTGGCATGAAGAGAGACATTCACATTTCATCTGGGCAGAAAATCTATATTCTGTATTATTCTTGTGTTAATAATACAGAGGGCTAAATCAAAGGTGAATTGATTTCCTGAAGCTGAACAGACTTTTGGTGTTAGCATAGATACAGCCACAGTCAAAGAGCAGACCTTTCAATTTAGTTATTCTGCTGTCAATGTAAATAAAATTGCTCATGAAGCAAATTGCAGCCAGTTATTTTTTGCACTCAGAACCATTATGTTCTTTGGAAATGATCATTTATGTTAGACAGTGGATTATGTTTCTATGAAAGTGTGTAAGGCAAATGCAAAGCACAATTTACCTTGAAGGTCAGCTGAATATTACAATTGGCACTTACAGGTCATTATTATGCAGCTAAAATGATCCCAGGGAAAGGAGTGATATTTGTGAAATGATACAAAACCAGAGATTCTTGATTAGTTGATAGGAACCAAGAGAAAAAGCCACATGGGCTGTTAAGCCATATGACTGTGGAGGGCTGGAGGTACTGTTTCAGCATAATTATCTGGCTTGTGTGGGCAATGCATGGGTGTGGGAAAACATCCCTGTATGGACATTGCAAGGAGAGGGAAAGGTAGTCCCTTTGGTGCCTCATGTCAAGAGAAGGACTTAACTCCAATTTATGTACCATTAAAGGTGGGGATTTAGTAGGCAGAGCAGGAAAGTAATCCTGGGAAGAGAGATGGCTGTGTTGGTAGAGCAGAGGACCCATCTGAATAGTTCTGTACATGTTTTTGTGAGCAAAGTTACTTTTGCTTAAGGAAAATGATTAGCTATCTACCCTGAGGCATGGCCTGTTTTTCTGCCTCCTAGGGAGACGAATGGGTTACAGCAAACTACAGCCAAAAAGCTGGAGGTTACACTGCTGTGAAATACTGTAATTCTGCACAGGTACAGTCTTTGTGCTGGTGCTCATGGCTGCATAAAAGTCCAGTCACTAAAGTGCTCTGTAGCTTTGAGTACACAGAGCAACAAGAACTGGGTTACTGTGCCTCCCCATTTCTCTAGGAGGCAGCCTGAGACCCAGCTGATGCACACAGTCCATCCTGTGTATCCTGGCAGTAGGGTGTCCTTGAAGTGCGGTTGTCCTTGATGGAAGGTCCCTGATCTGCACAGCCTGCATGATCCCAATCACACAACATTGCTGGAGAGACAGAGGGGATATTTGGAGGTTGCCAAACAAGTACCCCACAGCGGGACAGACCCCATCCACATGACAGTGCAGTTGCACCCAGAGCACACCCTGACATGCCAGGCTCCTCTTAGGTTCATAAACTGGGTCACTCAAAACTAATGCTCACCATTCCTTTCATGTATCTGGCTGGCAGGGAAAAGAGAGCAAAGCCTTGCACTCCTGGGGCGAATTCCCAGACAACTGATGTTGGAATGAAGAAGCTCTCAAAAGAGAGGATGTCACTCCTATCAAGAGTGAACACATAGAAAAGCATGCACACCAGCAGTTCTGCTAAGATCTGCCTCTCGATGTGGGCACAGGAACCCATCCCCTGCACAACTGGCTCATGTAGCTGTCACTCACTGGGTGTGCCATACTCTGCCATGACAGCCAGGCTCCAACAGGTTCAAGGATGATTTTCAATATTTATTTGAGATCTACAGGGGCATTCTGTTCAGCAAAAATATCTCTCTTAAAAGTACTTTGCTACTTTGGAGAGGAAGGAAAACTCCAGCAGTCGTGCCTCTACTGTCATTGACTAATTACAAACTGCCTTGTACAACCTATAAAGTCCTATAGGCAGCTGTTTTGTGCCTTTACAGAGAGCAAAGATAGTCCTGAGAGCTCTGAAATGGTGACTACTAATCCTAGTGTAGACACCTCCAGAAAATGGGAAATAGAGGACCTGGCTGTCAGAAAGAATCATCTGGAAGACATGTCCTAGTGCCTCTTCCAGACTAATTGGATGAGATACTGCAATCATTTCCAGCACAGGTCTGGTGTTTGATGGAAATAGCACAGTCATGACCTTGCAGTATTGGTGGTCCATGCTAATGGTTCATGGGAGAGAAAAGGGACTATTAGTAACACCTTGATGTATAAAACTGGCTTCTTTTACTTCCAAACTTACAGCAGGAAGCAGGATGGGAATTACTTTAAAACACTGCTGGATACAGAAATAATAAAAAAAAACCTGAGTAGATTATAAGTGAATGTTTTGTTTTTTTTTTTTTTTTTTTTTTAACGATGCTGTCCCCTGTGAAATATAGATCTCTCACCTCTGTCAAAAGTTTCCTCTTTCTGCCTGTTAACATCAGACAATCAATCTCGTCCCATCAGCTTCAACAGTATGCAACTCTCTCAGCTAGCTGGGAAAAGACTTCTTTTTTTATTTCCTCTTTAATTAAGCTCTGCAGCATGCTGTTTTACTTGCAAGGCTCAAAGATGTATGGACATTGCTCCAAACAAACCATTGGAGAGAAGGGCATTAAAGATAGCTCGCTCTAACACTAAGTGGTCCAAAGCCACAGATAAACTAATGCACAGGCAACAACATCAGCAACAAAAGGAGGTAATGATATGCAATTACTGGATTTGCAAATACTCTGCTGGGATTGGGGTATCTAAACACACTATGCCAGACTGCCGAAATACACAAAACATTTTTTTACAATTGCAAAGCAAGAGGGGACTTAGTAGCAACACACATGGCACGGTAGGTCCTTTGATTAGTGTGAATGCTTCTGTCAAACTAGTAAAAGACAGGAACAGAGAAATGCTTCCCATCTAGTTTTACTACTGGCTGTATCGTTCCTATAATGTAGTCAGAAGTGATTTTAAACAGTTGTTAACAGGTAGAGGTTGGACCATTAAAGTACACATTTATCAGGCACCTGCCTCATGATAACCCAGGTCTCTACAGATCTGAATTCATCCCTAAACATTTCCTTAATTGTCTGCCATCCATGCCCAGACCATTATCTTGCTCTTGTTGCTCAAAGGTTTCTGTGCCCCATTACTGCCTGTTAATGACTGTCTGTTCAGCTGTGACTGGTTGCCCTATGTCAAACACTTCAGGTTATCCTTGAAATACTTCTACTTTCTGTGCTCTGTTGTTCTGTCCAGGCACTGCCTGGGCATTCATCTGTTGGCACTACAAGTCATAAATTTACCCCTGCATTTGCATTATCATTAGAAAAACTGGTAGACATAACTACCCACCAAGACTTCACAGCATTATCTGTATTTAGACACTGAGACATTGTTGGTGGGGTAAGTAAGGCTACAGAATTATAAAATGAAGAAGAGGTCAAATATGTAATGCAATGTGTTTGGCCTTCCTGACCCCATGCCCTGGGTCATTTATTATTTCTCCCATTGCAGTGCTTAGAGACTCTAGTGACACATAAGATGCTGTACATCAACACAGAAAGGCAGATACCATTGCCATCTAAGTAGGCAAGCAAACAATCCTACGTATGTCAGAGCTCAGGACCTGGGTCCCTGGCTGTTTCTCACTCAGGTTCTTCTCTATTCATAATATATCTGAGCTGAAGATTCTATACTTTCCTCATAAGAACACATGGGGTCTTCTACCTAACTGCCTGTTTTCATTCCTCTAGAAATGTGGTGTCCCTGAGACCTTTATCCTTTGGTTGAAACTGCTGAAAAAATAAAATAAAAAAAATCTGATGTATAAGGTCTGAATCACATGGAGTGACTGCACTGATACTAGAATACCAGGCTAAACAACAGGGAAGAAATTACTATTGTAATCCTTGCTTTTCTGGTGAGGAATGTAAGCAAACAGCAATGCAGTAAAGTACTATATAAGGGTTTGAATTATAAAAAGCAGCTTGCCCTGTGAATTTTCATGTTATTGGGCTGTTTATGAAAATCTTTTTGCACCAGAAAGTATCTGGTGGCTTCAGATTAGATTAAACATACCTGTTAGGAATAAAGCAGAGGGGATTCTGATAAAAAGACCAAAGGCATAACCCATAAATCAAGAAGCGAAACAAAAATGGAACCTGCTGCTGATGGAATTTCCATTGATTTATTTGAACAGCCCCAGTATGAATAATAACTTAATCTGTCCCAAGACTCTTTCCCCAAAGCACACTGATTTACAGCAGCCATCCATCTCTTTTCATAATTAGCAAGCCCTGACAGTATTTATTCTTCTCTGCCCACCTTCATTACCATTAAAATTTAGACTTCCTCCCTGCTCTGGAGCAGCCAGCATTCATGCTGTTTGGTGCACTGGGATTACTCAACAGCTTGATTTGTGGAGGTGTTTTCTTATACCTTACCTCCTTTGCACTGGCAGGTAGAGTCTGCTGCTTGCAGGGGGAAACTTTTCTAGGAATGCAGCAGAAATCAACACAGCTTTAGTACTGAGTAGCAAAAAAAGAAATGGGGTTATAATGCTGAAAGTCAAGGCACGGAGCAACCCTCAAATGCTCAACAGAAACAAAGGGAATCAAGATGGCCAAAGGATCAGTTAACAGAGTAAGTCAGGCTCCTTTGTTATAGGTTAATTTCTTCAATCTCAGGTTCATTTCTGGTCTAAGTTTTAGGGAACCCATGTTGTCTAATATAGAATAGAAACAGATGACAAATTTATTTGAAGCATAAATTAAGAGGTGTCCTTTAAATTCGGAAATATTTCTTAAATAGCTGAATGTAAGATCAGAAGATGATTTTCTGTGTCAGCATTATTACATTGATGACACAACATTATATCACTGGATAATTTGATCCTAGAGTCAATTTGGTAAAGAGAAAACAACTCCTTGTTCTTGGACAGACTGCTTTTCCAGAATGTTAGATGGGTCTGAAGTTTCATAACTAACCTAATTATATGCGTATGGCTTATTAATATGGTAAATCAAGAGATGGTGTTAGGCATTTAACTGGCATATAATACTGATGTGAAATTAATTAAATAATCATTAGCAGATGTATTTATGTGACCATTTCTGGTTATGAACTAAAATTTATTTAAGTTGCTTATGGCAGCATGTAAAATAATCTCTGAACAGTTTTATTGGAGATACAAATAGAACCTCATGTTTTAATCAGTTATTTTGGGGTTCAGAGCTACCTCTTTCTGTCTGTAGAGTGTCATTTGTTGAGCATGGGACTTACAGAAGATGGACAAACCCGACTTCAGTTGCTCAGATCT